AATGGATAGCTTCAGTTGTTCAGGAGGTTTTAAACAAAGTCACAAGATCAATAAAATCTCCTTGAATAAAACAGGGGCCGAGCACAGAAATGATGGCATGATATAAAAGCAAAGTGGAAAATCTGACAAGGAATGCAGCTGTTTATATTAAAAATGTACACAGTCATGTCACTATCAGGCACTTTGCTTTAGCGAAACATGATCTAAGAATAAATAAACAGATATAAGCAGAGGCAGCAGCTTTTCTGCACTTCTGTGTAAATTCAGTAGGTGTCAACTTTTAGTTGGAGGAGAGCAGATGGAGGGAAGAAGACAGAAGGAAAGGAAGACAAGAGTAATAAAACAGGAGAGGAGAGAAGGTAAGTGGATACAGATCAAAAAAGACAGGCAGATATTTTGTTTGGGCACAGCGCTGACTATGACTCAGACTCTATTAGTAATATGCCTAAATCAAGATGTTCCAGCTGCTCTGATAGATTGTAAAAAATTTTTCTTTAGAGGTTAAACAAGTCACCAGCTTCATTAGTGCAGCTAGCACAGGGAAATTGGACACCAGACATAACCGTTGTGTTCTTTGCATACTCTTAATGGGGCTGGCAGCACAAAAAAGTAGTGGCTTTAATAAAGGTGATTACTTGTTAACACTGTGGCTTTGTTCAGAGCAGTTTGTAACTTTGTAAGAGAAACAGTGCAAATTAGGTTTGGCCCCACTCCTACGTCTTCTTGTTCCTCTCCATGTAATGGTTATTATGTTGAATTCGTCTGGACCCAAGCTGCATTGCAAAGATATTTTTCTTAGAACTGCAGAGATGTTTGGCAGGAGAAAATATGCAGTGTAGCAGAGAGATTTGCAGGGTATACTGTATCTTATAGGACTTCAAGTTTTCGTTTTCTCTGTCATTATTACGCTGCGCTAACCAGCTGCTGGTTCTAGCTTCATGTATAGCACACATCTGAGCCTCAGACAGAATATTTCCCAAAATATTGAACTATTCCTTTAAAGAGCCAAAGATAAAAGTCAAGTCAATTTTTAAGAGGGGTTCAACATTATAGAAATGTACCAATGAACATGCAGTAGCCTACAGCTGCAGCTTAATGCATAACTCCTGCTTCTATAACACGTGTTTTCTGTGTTTCCATCATGGCACTAGATTGTTGAATGGCTGTGCGACAACGTGAATGCCTTCGAATCCTTTGATCCCATCCAGGAGTTCATTCTAGGTCAGTGGCAGCTGAAACGGGGACACAAATCTCCTCAGTATCACTTCTTTTTTCCTTTTAAAGTCTAGCTGCTGTCTTGCCCTTTTATGTCACCTTCTCTTTGTGGTTGCTAGGCTGCTTATATCTTGTCTACACAAAGCCGAATTCTTTCATCAACTCTGTTTGGCTTTTAAATTTCTTCTTGCAGGCTTGTGCCTAGCACCCCCACGCAGGTCTGAAGGGTTAGAAAATAGATTTGGTTATTTTAGACCTTGGGGACTTGCAGCTTGCACAGAACGATGCAAATACGGTTAAGTCCTAGCAGACACACAACAGCACAAGAATAGTAGGTGATATTAATTTCATTTAGAAACAGTCATCACCCAGAGAGTAGATCACATTAGATTTTGGAGCACCATGCTGCATAAATCTGCATTTTAATTGTGTTGCAAGAACTACTCTAACTTGCCCTTAGATACAGAAGACATGAACGCCAGTGTTATTGTACAGCATATGAAGATAATTATGTTGACCTTATATAGTATATGATACATTTGTAACCTGTGCTCACTAATATATCAGTGATAATTGGGGGACAAGGGCTCAAGTGACTTGTTTATCTTATGTTAAAAATTCTATATAACTTGGTTTAAAACAAGGAAATAAGTGTCTTTCTCTCTCTCTCTCACACAAACACACAGCCTCTTTGTACAGAATAAGCTATGACAAGTCTCTCAGCCTGGACAAAGTCCTGCCTTATTCCTCTGTATTCGACAAGAAGGTACCATATACATTTGCACACACATAATTTATTGAATAAAAAATATTTAGGCAACTCTGTATATGTAGGGATATGAATGTGAAGAGGTCCCTCTTACAAGTAGTACACACATTTACTGTAAGTCTGTCTTTCTGGTTTCTAGGAGGTGCCAGTGTGTCTGTTGGAGGTCCCTGGTGTGTCATGTGCCACTGACCTGCATATTGAGTCTGTAGTAAAAGGAAAGGTAACATCATATTTGATTTTTAACACATTACACCAAAATGGATTCAGTTATTGTTGAATATGTATAATTATTTATCATACTGTACCACAGAGCCCCCTTACAACTGTTTCCATAAGTAGTTGATAAAACTTTAGCTTGTTGATTGAACTGAGACAATGTGAGTGTGTGTTACGCAAACCTATTAGACATGCTCTATAAGTGCGCTGGGAAATTACTATAGCCAATTGCATTCAAACATTAAAAAGGCATTTATATGTAAAACTGTGATTTTATATACATTGCTTGTGCGCAAATCAGATGCAATTATTCTCAATTGTTTATGCAGCAATGACCTTGCTTTTTTTACCCTGGTGCTGTTGGTGCGTGTATGGGTGTATGTGTGTCTCCAGGGTTTTTGGACAGAGCTGCAGTGGAACACAGAGAGGACAAAATACCTGGATGCTGTTCCCAACCCCAGATACAGAACCTCACAAATAAAAGCTGACTGGGATAAACTGGTGAGTCTGTTTGTGTGTGCTCCAATAAAAACCTCTCTTTGACACAAATCTCAACCAGATCTAATTGGGTTAAGTTAGATTAATCAATGGTAAATGTTTGAACATGCTAGTTGATGTGAGAAACAAGAAAATGTGTGTGTATTTGTGTGTTTTTATACAACTTACCTGTGGATTTTTGCCAAACAATTGGACCATAAGTCTGCCTTCCCACGATATTGCTGTTTGTTTCAGAGGTCTGTGAGGAGAAGATCAAGCCACATGAATCACATGGAGGAGAACACAAAGAAGTAGGTCTACCTCCCCATGGGGCTTTGCTAAGAAGTACGACAGCCTGTCACAAACAGTAAAGTAATATTGGGCTGGTAGAGAGGACCCAGATACAGACACACAGACAAGCAAGTCGGTCAAGCACAGCAGTTTGTTAACAGAACAGGTACAAGTGTGGTTTACTGTGGCAACAAAACAATGCAGGGATAACTAGTGGCAGAGTCTGAATGGAAGTTAGAGGCACGCAAACAGTCCAAACTAAGCACTAACTTCAGCATGTGAGAGGCCAAGTCCAAACAACAAGCAGAATCCAAAAACAGGTTATGAAGGAAATTGGCGGGAACACAGTGACTGGTGAGAACATCAGACAATCTGTCAGAAAACAAAGGAAACAGTATATGTATACAAAGGGAGCAAACAAGGGAAGTGGAGATAGGTGTGGTGGTTGTGGGATTCAGGTCTGGACAATGAGGAGATGATGTGTTTATTGTCTTGAACCTAAATAAAATTCCTTTCATGACCTTTTACACAGGTATGAATATAGATGTGTGGCCGAACCAAACTCTAGAAACTCAGAGTGTAAACTCTAGAAAACAGAGACTACAACAGAAGTGTTGTTCTGTTTGCTCACATGTAAATGTCACTGCATAGCCCAAACCACTGCTTTTTGTTATTTAACCAATGTTTAGCCAGGTGGACTACACTGAGGTGCCTGAGACTACTTGTATCACAAGTTCCAGTTCACTTTTATCATTGGAATGCATAAACCCTTTTCTAACCATCTACCTGGTCACTCTTTCAATATAAACTATCCACTTAAGATTGATTAAAAAGGAGGTTAGAACTACAACTCCACAGCAGTTTATGATCAAGTGACATGATGATGGGCAGGTGCCTGAATGCAGCACTGATGTAAACCTGCAGTGAAAATCAAAACAACTCTGCTGGACATCAAACCACCAGCCTTAATTAGCTTCTCTTTCTCCAGGCCAAACCCCAGCACCTGCTCTCAAACTTTTTGCTTTCATAGATTTGATATATTTTTTTGCTGCCAACTGCAGCAGACTAGCATTACACTGCCTCGGCTTACAGCATAGAAAATAAGACTCTTATTATCATGCTGGCTTGTTTTCACACAAAGCTTTTCTTTTTATTTTGCAGAGTTCTAGCAATGGTGGACACCTGGTGTCTTGGTAAGATGGCATGTGCACATTGAACTTGCACACATAAATCCATACATGCAAAATACACAGACACACAGACAAAGAGAAGGAGTGTGAATGTCATAAATAAGATAATCTTGGCTTATAATGGAACTGAAAACTGTATGTGTTTGGGTTTGTCTCTCCTTCTGAGGTCGCATACTTCATGCCCACTGGAGAATTAAGCTGAACAGAACCACCACACTAATTTATCTTGAACAGAGAGGCTGAGGAAAAAAGGGGAGAAGAGGGGCAGGAGGAAGCGAGTGAGAGAAGGAGGGAGGGGGAATATGAAAAAATAAAAAGACAAAGAAAACAGAAGAAAGAGAAGTGAAGAATGCAACAATTATATAACAGTGGAGAGTTAGGTACTATCATCCACTCTCTCTCTCACTCTCTCACTCTGACTCCAGTGCAGCTGTTTTGTGTCAGACACAACACGGGACCTTCCCTTACCTCAGATAATTCCCATGGATGATCTCATACACTGACAATCTCCCACAGATTCATTTCAATATACACAGATGATAGCACACATGTGAGATGACAAGATTCACATTTGTGGTTTTGAGTGAAATATATGGACAGCTGTTGAATGGGTTACAAACAAGCTTGGTTCAGATATTCATGTCCCCCTCAGTATGAATTGTAATAACACTGGTGACCCTTTTCATTTACTACCAAATCAGCGTTTACTGTCATTTAGCAAGAATTTGCATGTTAACATCCTAAATTATTAAATCTTAGAACATAAGCATGTTTGTTTTGTCACTGGGAGCATTTTAGCTTGCTTAGGATTTAGCTAGCACAGCCCTGCAGAGCTGCTGACTGACAGTGCAAAACCAAGAAGCCACTTAAAATAAAGTCAGAAAGAGAAAAACAGCAAATCCTCATGTCTGAGTAGCTGGAACTGGAAAATATTTGGTATTTCTTTGGTAAATTAAATGATTTATTAATTACCAACATTGTTGTCAGTCTTCTGTTGATAGATGATAATTCAGCACTGTAGAGCTTGTAATACAGAGGGCTAGTGGCTATGTGTGCTGCTGGTTTGAAGTCAAAAACACTGCATGCTCTGAATAAGAGCATCAGCTAAATGTCTAACATATGTAAATTTAAAACAGTTGATAACTTTGAACTTCTAACAGGCATACAGAAAATCTGGCAGTGCAGCCTGTCAGTTACTGTAGCTGTGCCCTTCAAGCACAGTATATATCTGTAACATATTACACTAACATCAAAAAGTCAGCTTCTTACATGTGTGTACAAGTGTTCAAAAGATGCTGTGTGTTTGTGTGTAATAATTCATCTAAAGCTTTGAAGCTGGAGCGTGGTCCTCTTTTGTGTGACTGACATAAAACAACTCTAGTATGCATACAAACTCTCAGACACACAGCAGGACTACAGCCCGAGTACTGGGATATACTGTATTTTGAAAGTGAAAATACTGTATACCCCAGAAGAACTTCTTCTTTTACGGTCTTCTTTTTTTTATTGAAGTTTTAAACATGCCAGAATTTGTTGTTTCTCCATTTCTGGCCAGTTTAATGACAATACTGTCATGCTTCGGTTCCGCTGCTTCCTGTCGTGCTTTTATTTTGACATTACTTCCTGTTTTTGTTTCTTGGGTGTTTCTCATCTTCTTCTTGGCAATACCTCATAGGTTCAGGTCAGGCATATTGGCAATTAAGCACAGTAATATCAGTCAGCAAACCACTTAGTGTCATGGTTCAGTTCCATGTTGCTTCCTGTCATGCTTTTATTTTGACATTACTACTTTTGTGTTCGTATAAGTTGATAATTCTGTTCTGTCTTGCCCTCTTGTTTCGGACTGCTGCCCTGTGTATGAATTATCAGATGTCTCCTGTGGACTATGAACTTTGGATTCCCTTGGATGTATGTGTTTGCTGGCTCTGACCACGGACTGTATGGTCAACCCGTAAGTGCGTTGTATGTTACACCGTGTCTTGTCTTGTTTTTCTGTTCAGCGTTGGTAATCTTAATAAAGAGACGGGTTTGTTTCACACATCCTCGCCTGGCCATTTACAGTTTTTCTCTATTGCTTTCATTCATTTCTCACAACAGAATTGAAGTTTGCAGATCTCCAAGTGCATTTCTCAAAACAACACGTACAAACTGCACAACATAGTGGATAATTGGAAAAAGCGCGTCACCTGCTAAAAATGCTTTGTCTATTGTGCAAAAGTGTGTTTATTCATCAATCATTGTGTCAGAGGCAGCAGAATCCCATGTCATTTCCTCAACAATGTGAACGTGACAGGCAAAATTATTAGTCATGTTGTCAGTAGAACATCATACTCAGTTTTTGTTATTTACTGTAAACTATACTCAACTCAGGTTTTGATGACTAGAAACCACTAAATTACCGTACTGGTGTGTGTCATAATTTACAGTGTCCCTCCGGTAAAAAAAGAAGTGATTCTTGCAAACCATTGTGCATCAACCAGGTGTTACAGTAATTTACATGGTAAGAATAGATAATTTTCTGAATGATTCCATCTAACCTCATCTAACCAATCACCATCGCCCCACGTTACAGTATATGGAAGAATCGAAACAAAAGATCAGACTGTACTCACATTTCTACTGTACTGTCAATAGTGGTACTTACATACAGACAACAAAGGAAACTATACATAGTCTATTTACCTAGCAATGGAAACATACTGTAAAAAAGACAAAGTGGGAAGAACTATACATGTACAACAGAAGGTAAAGGTGAGATTACGTGGCAGTTTTCCTATGCGTCATGTTGGTCCTGTCTGTTGGGCCACAGATTCTCATCCACATCACAACATATATTTTGTCTTGCTATGCACCGTGGAAAGAATCTTCTTGAGTGCCTAATCCAGCCTCTGCATGCATCTGCTGAGATGTCCTCACATGCTGCATCCATGGCAGCCAGCAGTGTCATCCGCGTATGTGGCTGATGATCATAAACTTTCCACCGCCAAGCCGAGAAAAACTCTTCAATTGGGTTCAGGAATGGGGAGTAGGGTGGAAGGAATTCAATCAGCATCCTGCGGTGGTGGACAAACCACTGCCTGATGTTGTCAGAGCGATGGAAACTGACATTATCACAAATTACTACATACTTTGGTACATCATCTTGATTGAGGTCCCTCTCCTCTTCAGGAATGACATTTCTATAGAGATTGTCTAAGAATGTAAGGAGATGCTGTGTGTTGTACGGTCCCATAATAGGAATATGAGCTAGCACACCTTGGTCTGACATAGCAGCACACATAGTGATGTTTCCTCCCCGTTGGCCTGGGACATCAACAGTAGCTCTCTGGCCAATTAGATTTCTACCACGCCTTCTGCCTTTGGCCAGGTTGAAGCCAGCCTCATCCAAGTATATGAAGTTGTGAGGTGGTTCTCTTCGTTAACGAAGGTGAAGACTCACCTGAGAGCAATTTCTCAATTCTGGACATATTTCTTAGCAAACATCTACTCACACTTTGTAGAAATCTGTACAGACATACAATTCTGAGAACATGTTCACTCATTTTGATAGTACAGACTTCCAACCTGAAAAAAAGACTAATTGGTTTGGTGGTTGTGACATTTCAGCTGAGAACCAGGACAAGTTATTTTGCACAGCTGGACAAAAGCAACAAGAATTGTCAAAAACAGCTGACAGATGTACAAAACCATTTGCATGTTGTCCAAAAGAAATTGCAATTTGATGAAAACAACAAGAAATTGCTGATATGATGTGAACAACTGACAACAGAATCTGACGATTGAACAAGTAGTTCTGAGAAATGCAGTTCTGTTGTGAGAAATGAATGAAAGCGATAGAGAAAAACTGTAATCGAGTTCACCACAACATTTTCGGCAGCTTCACGCGCCGATCCTGACAGATACAGCACTGACACACCTGAGGCTGCCTGCAGTGTTCACTCTGGCATGGATGCAGCATCAAGGGTTTCTTCATATATCTCATTTATGTGCATACTCTCACTATTGCCTGGTCTCTTCTAGATAAGAAGCTGGTCCCGCTTTTCCAGGAGGATGACCATCAGCAAAGGACACTCATAGACCTGGTGAGAGAGTGAAGTCAGTGGCAGCAAACTGTCTACACAGACACATACACCTGGCATTGATATGTGAAAGGTGTGCCTTCAAATTTGTGGCAGACGTTTGGGCAAGGCTGAAATGCTGTCTGCCAACTAAATCATTCAGTTAAAGGGTCAGACATTCAATCAGTTATATAAACATTCAGATATTTCAAAATATCAGGTCCTTCAGCTTGCCAAAGATAGTAGTTAACATCCTGACACTCATAATTAAAAAAAGAGCAGGAGCAGAAAAGAAAATCGTGAAACACATGCCTGGGCTGTTTATCAGTAGCTTAGTTTGAATAATAAAAATGTACTGTAGATGAGGCAGATTAAAGAGAAAGTGGGGGCATAGTAAAACACCTCATTGTAAAATGCAGTGAAGTGTCCCAGGTCATTGATATGCAACAGTTTTACAACTCCTGGAGGTGGATTCTTACTTTACCAGGGGCTGATATATAGACAGTTAAAGATCCACAGTGAAATGCTGACAGCCAGTTACTTCCCCCATAGTCATTTTTTTAAGCTGAAGCTCTTATTGCGCTTCAGATGAGTCAACACTTTAAAAAAAGGGCATCTTAAGGTCCCTGTCCTGTGTTTCACTGTACACTGATGGACAATTTCATATCCTAAAGTTTCCCCTGTGCTCAGCATAGTTTTTAAAGAGCAGATAGCTTCAGTTTAATGGAGTTCAGTCATGATGCTGTCTCTCTGCTATTCTTAGAATGACCCAGGCCTGTGTCTTTCCCTCTTTATTCCCTCCATTACTTGGTCTATTTTCCTGTTACCTCTTCCTCTTTCCTCATCCTTTCTCCTTCTTTTTATGCTCACTCCCTTTCCTTCAACTTCACCCTGTTTTTAGACATTTACTCCTGCTCAACTCTCATATCCACAGGTCTCTTCTCCTCTCCTCAGTTAAATCAGTCTTGGGACCCTGTAGTCTAGGAAAAACCTGAGATGAACTTAAATTGACCCTGCTGAGGGTACAGTGAAGTCTGCTTAAAACACAGTTTTACTCTAAGCTACACAGGCACAGAAAATCAGTATTTGTTTTTCTTTCTTGCATTGCAGACAGTTGACAAGCTTCGAGAGCATCTCAACAGACACCTGCCTCGACTGGGGAAGAAGAAGACTGACTTGCTGGTTGTCAACTATGTAGCCAAACTGGTTGGTATACACTGTGTCTATGTGTTGCTTAGAGATACAAAGAGGTCCAGGAATTCAATGCAAAGCTCTTCAGGTTTTATTTATTTAATAACAGGCCTTACTATTTTTCTTGGACAGTTAAGAGACACTCACTACAGGATGCACTCACTGAAAAAGGAAACGAGTTTGCCATTAAATGCTTTGACAGAGCTCATAGATGGATGTGTGCTTTTTGGTTGAGAATTTTTCCTGGAAGCTGTCAGGTCACTAGTCCTCTAAAACAAATGGCAATCCTCTAGTTAAGGCATCCTCAACCATGCTGACTTATTTTAACTTTGTGTTGCCACCAAGGGAGTAGTACAACTGGGGGTCTATGCTGTAGGGGAGTCTGGGTGTTTCTCTTTCTTTACACTTACTGCTTTTTTTTTTGTGCTTCAGTAGAGTCAGCCTTTAGTATTCTTGGGAGGTAGCTTCCTTCACATGCAGCATATATCAACACAACAGTATTAAACTAGACAGAGTAAGTCTGGAATTCCACAGAATGCAGGATGCACCACATTTCGAGACTTTGTGGAATTGCAAGTGACAGATAGAAAATGACCCGGGGTTATAGCTGGATCAGTAGCATAGCTCAGTACAACAGGCTCAGCCTTCAGACTCAAAATTAAAGTAATAGAAATGGACATTTGTAAACATTTTAGCCTTGCCTTGCAACAGATGTGGTGATTGAAATTTTTCCATTCGATGGGAGTGAAATGGTGCCTCTCATCCTGGGAATCAGATCTTGACAACATAGATATGCAAGAAAGAAACAAGTACTGAGGGGTATTACAGCTAGGAACATGTAAATCCACATCAAGCTGACTCGTACGTTAAAAAGTCAGGATGGAATTGTTTCAGGGTAAACTGACCTTCATTCCACAAATAAAGAACATCTCCCTCTTGTCTGTGCTTATTGAGACTAATGTCTGAGTGGGCATGGGAGAAGTTGGGGTGAAACAGATTACAGCCTCTAAGAGCCTGGCAACTTCTGCAATGATAGATTACAGCACCACTAGACATTTTTGTCATAGTTACTTATTCCATGCCCCTGTTGCTACAGCCAACCGAGATACAGCCAAAGTCAGAGCAAAGAAAAGCCCACTAATAACTGAATATGAATTACTAAAAGCAAGACTACATATTAAAAGTAATGCAATGAACTCAAATAGGCTGGAAGATTTTTAATTATGCAACAGAAAAATTATTCTTCACCCAAGGTTATGGAACTTTTTTCAGCTGGGGACCCACACTTGGTAGATCCAGTTGCATTGTCAGGCTGATGCTCATTAAGACAAATTGCTGATCCTAGATTTTATTCTAATAGAAAGCCACACAGGATTTCAATCACTTGTTTGCCTTTTAGCTTTTTTTGTTTCAGCAAAAAACATTCTAATACATATTCTTATGCTTTTTACTGATCTTCAAGGGCCAGGATTACATCAGCAACTGAATGCAAGAGATATTAGTTTACAGCTTTGAATAATTTATTTTGCTTGCTGCCACTTTTTTTGACTACAAGAAATGAATATCTAATGGAGAAGAACTGTTAAAATGTACCTACTACTCAATTTATACTGTTAACAGACCAGCAGAAGAAATGTTTGCTAAAAAAAAATCAGTTTCTGTCTTTTAGAATATTTCTTCTATTGTCTGTATTTATAGAACTGTCAATATAAATCCCTAAAATCTTCAAGTTCGGTAGGGGTAAGTACTATAAGCACCAGCTTGAATCACAAACTTGAATTTTCTTAACCACATCTGGATCCCTTCATTACATCTATAATCAGTCATTGAAAACGTTGTCACAGATGATAGTAATGAAGACATAAACGTATAGATTTTGGTGAATTAGGCCACAACCAACACAAGTAAAAGAACAACACTTAATAGATAATATTAAAGTTAAATAGTAATAGTATAAATATAAAGAAAAATAAAAATAAAAGGGAAATAGTATGACAAAAAAAGAATATAGAAAGTCAATTTCAGCTTTTCCTGTTTTAGGGGTTGCCACGGTGAATCGTCACACTGACGACTCGCATGTTGACATTTGGTACGTCCTTCCTGACGCAACCCTGATTCGAAACCAGGCCGCAGCGGCGAGAGCACTGCGCCTTAACTACTAGCAGGGACAATGACAAAAAGAATATAATGAGAACAAAATAAACCAGAAATGGATACATAAAGTCAAAAAGACTTAACTGTTTTTTTTTTTTTAATTATCATTACTACAATCATTTTCTATCAGCTGTCTTTTCTTGTGCCCCCCAATTTCTTAATTTGCTTGGTTTAAATTTTTTTTCAATAAGTACTGAATATCAGTCTGCACAGATTTGATACACCCTACCTCTACACACAGCACACACAATTCTAACTTAATTTAATAATCCCTTTGTCCCATTTGTTAATGTCTGTTGTCTGTTACTATGTTATGTCCTTTGTCCTGTAAATGTTTTATTTTGTGTTGCAATAAAGACATTTTTGATTAATATAAAAGTTATAAAAAAGTAAAAAAGAATGAAAGTGAAAAAACATCATATTTTTACAGAAGTAAAATAAAAAACAGAGGAGCTTCTAATCCCATTTGTCTTCAGCACCTCTGTTACTTCTGGGCAAGTTTGTTAAGTTAAGTGAAGCTAACTGCAATTCCCCTCCTGAGGTTAATGGAGGACATTGCTGCCTGCATGTGGAGTGCCTAATCGAGGGTTTCCCACTGGTGTAGAGGATGTGAAAGAGACGGGTTGTCTTCCTGTTATTCTACAGGAAACGAGTGAGTGGTCATTCGTGCAAAGGTGTGTGTGTTTCAGTACGCAGCAGGCACACTTCCCTTCAGTCAACTCAAGTGCTGACGGATGTGTGGTGAAATGATGTGGGCGAGTGCATGCATGCTGAGCTGTTCACACTGCAATGCTCTTGTTCAGTGGAAATGAAAATGGGAAGTAGGGAGAAAAAAAAGGGAAGTTAGGAAACTGATCACTGTACATTTCCACGAAGAAGTCATTGCAAAAAGCAAAAAAAAAATTCATAAACTGCATATTTTCAGATAATATGCTTGTGTAGTACAAAGTTTCCAGGCCCCTGACTCAAGCTGCACATTGAAGAAAATGTTTAATTTGAATCTACTCGGGCATCTCCTTCCCTAAGCACTAACGTGTGTGTTTGTGTGTTTAGCTGGAGCTCATCAGACACATGCTGGATTCAGTCTGGCTGAAGTACAAACTCGGCCCTCGTGTTTTGTGCTTGTGAGTAACCCTTCTCTCATCGTGTCTCCTTTTAAAAGTCATGTTTCTAATATAAAGTATACGTAACAAACTGACTGAATGTGTTCAGGTTCATGTATGCTCCAGAGCCCCATTACTCCCCGCTGTGTGTGTCTGTGTGTGTGTGTGTGTATTCACATGTGCAAGTTTTTGATCATCCCTTTTCATGTGTGCACCAATGTTATGTAATGCCCCCATCCAAATTTTTCTGTGTGTCTTTGTGTTCTAGCATACAGCAGGGCAGTCCAGCCGAGTGGTCTGTGTTTCACTTCATGCTTCGGATTCTGGAGGCCACAAGGGGTCTCTGCCTACCCCTCCCACCCGGTACCATTCTCCCACACACACACACACACACACACACACACACACCTCTCTCTCTTATACTTTTACTTGTTATAATCCAGTTTGCCTGTCACATCCAGAACAATGTGTGTTTGCACTAAGGGGCAAGAGACCTGCTCTTTGCTATAATATTGTATAGTCTGTTTCCTTTTGTTAAACATTAGCTGAAAAAAAATAATCAATTAAACATTGCTATCAGAGGTTAAGTAGTCAGACGTAGGCCTACATTTGTGTAAACAGTAGGTGGCTTTAATTTTTATCTTTATACTATATCATGCTAACAGCCTGTTTGTTTAAAAGGCTACTTGCAAAACTGACATTTCTATCAGTTTTAGCTAAACTTCCTGTTTAGAAATGTTAGCATGCTAACAACACACTAAACTGAGAAGATGAATGTAGTAAGCATCCACATCATTACTGTCAACGTGAACATGTTAGCATTTAGCTCAAAGCACTGCTCTATCTAAATACAGCCTTCGATCCAGTAGCTGTTTGCATGGTTGTAGATTAGTTTTACTTTTTCTTTTCCTTTGTTTTCAGGAGCATCAGAAGCTAAAGTATTTTTTCTTCCTCCTCTTTTTTAAATTGTTTTCTCTCTCCAGGCTATCACACCTTGTTAGCAGTGTTTGCTTTGCGTTGCCTCCCTCATCACACTTTCCTACAGTACATTGACCATGGTTTCCTGCAGCTCACGGAAACCTTTGTCTCTCGGCTCATGACAGGTACACACACAGACACATGTTTGTTTTCATTCCTTGTGAGGACTAACTTAAATTCACATTCTTGAGACCTACCGTAACCATCATCTGGTCCCCCAAATTTTTTTTTATGACCAAATACCTGCCAAACTAATGACATTCCCTTTAAGCCTCAGCTGTACTTTGTGCTTAGTGCTAATTAGAAAATTTTAGTATTCGAACACACTACACTAACATAATGAATGTGGTAAACTCACTAAATATCAGGATGTTACCACTGTCACTGTGAGCATGTTATCATGCCGATATTAACATAAGTTCAAAGCACTGCTGATACTGGACAGCATAACAGAGTCATTATCTAGAACTTTAATTACTGGTAGTACGAATTCTTTCATTCAGTCATTTAAGATTGTTGTAGTTTTTTTTTTGTTTTGTTTTTTTAAATCACATTATTTATTTATGCCAATGGACATGGTGCCATTACTTTGTACATCATGTGGTTTTTGTACAGTGAGGATAATACCAAATTGCAAGCAGTAAGTAAATATTAAGTCATTACAGTAAGTTACATACAGTAATTTATGATGTAACATGTAAAACAAATAGGATTACAAATTATCAGTGGCGGGCCGTCAGGGCCAGCAAGGCCTTCTCTGCTGCTGGCCTAAACACTATCAGAAGCACTGACATACATTTACAACCTAAATTCTAATATTTATTCCATGAAATTGTATTAATTTATTCTCAACAGTCTATTCTCTTCATTTCGTAGAGTTTCTCTTGGCTGCACTGCTTCCAGTAGGTGTATGTGGATGTTAGATTTTTTTTTTTTTGTCCAATCAGATTTCAGCCTCTATGTGTTGCCATGTCAATCTAATCTGCCCAGAGCCTTCAGAATCAGTAGTGCTGGCTGATGTAACTTAAACTATATTAACAGTGGGACTGTTTCTTTAACCAATCAGATTTCAAATTTAGTTGGAAATTAAAGGGGTAATGTTGAATGTAGTCCAGTGCAGCTTGGCCCACTTCTCATGATGAAGAACCTGGCAAAGGAAACTTGTAGTCTGCTATCTGACTGTGACACTACTTTTGTCCCCCTGTACAGAATTAGCATATTATTTGTCTGACACATCAACATGGTAGTTACATACCTGGTAGTACTTCTGAATGCTTAATCAGCACTAGAATATTTAAGTCAGAGGTTATGCAAAAAGAGAAGTTGACAAACTTCATATGTCAGATGTGATCTACTGTAGAAAATTACCACTCTAAAAGGCAAGCAGAGCAGGCAGAGGAGGTCCGACACTACCAAGTTGAAGAAGAGGTGTTGTGAGATGGAGGAGCCATGCAGACGGTGACTGAGTTTTACCATCACTGCAATGTTAGCCGGTATACCAAGCAGGCAACTGACTGCAATAATCACAGCAGCAACAATGTACCGGTTTTTGAGGCAGGAGGTCTTGAGTAGGAGCGGCTGGTGTCAGAAAAGTTACTGAAAATGTTGGAGGAGGTGTTTGAGCTCCTGTCACCATTCATAGTGGATGGTGTATGAAGAAGAGAGTTGAAGAAGTAATGAGACTTACAGTGGTGTGAAAAAGTGTTTGCCCCCTTACTGATTTCTTATCTTTTTGCATGTTTGTCACACTGTAATGTTTCAGATCGTCAAACAAATTTATATATTAGTCAAAGATAACACAAGTAAACACATCATGCAGTTTTTAAATGAAGGTTTTTATTATTAAGGGAAAACAAAATCCAAAACTATATAGCCCTGTGTGAACAAGTGTTTGCCCCCTAAACCTAATAACTGGTTGGGCCACCCTTAGCAGCAACAACTGCAATCAAGCGTTTTCGATAACTTGCCATGAGTCTTTTACAGCGCTGTGGAGGAATTTTGGCCCACTCATCTTTGCAGAATTGTTGTAAGTCAGCCACATTGGAGGGTTTTCGGGCATGAACTGCCTTTTTAAGGTCATGCCACAGCATCTCAATTGGATTCAGGTCAGGACTTTGACTAGGCCACTCCAAAGTCTTCATTTTGTTTTTCTTCAGCCATTCAGAAGTGGACTTGCTGGTGTGCTTTGGATCATTGTCCTGCTGCAGAACCCAAGTTCGCTTCAGCTTGAGGTCACAAACGGATGGCCGGACATTCTCCTTCAGGATATTTTGGTACACAGCAGAATTCATGGTTCCATTTATCACAGCAAGTCTTCCAGGGCCTGAAGCAGCAAAACAGCCCCAGACCATCACACTACCACCACCATATTTTACTGTTGGTATGATGTTCTTTTTCTGAAATGCGGTGTTACTTTTACGCCACACATAATGGGACACACACCTTCCAAAAAGTTCAACTTTTGTCTCGTCTGTCCACAGAGTATTATCCCAAAAGTCTTGGGGATCATCAAGATGTTTTCTGGCAAAACTGAGACGGCCCTTTATGTTCTTTTGGCTCAGCAGTGGTTTTCGTCTTTGAACTCTGCCATGCAAACCATTTTTGCCCAGTCTCTTTCTTATGGTGGAGTCATGAACACTCAGCTTAACTGAGGCAAGTGAGGCCTGCAGTTCTTTGGATGTTGTTGTGGGGTCTTTTGTGACCTCTTGGATGAGTTGTCGCTGCGCTCTTGGGGTAATTTTGGTCGGCTGGCCACTCCTGGGAAGGTTCTCCACTGTTCCATGTTTTCGCCATTTGTGGATAATGGCTCTCACTGTGGTTCGCTGCAGTCCCAAAGCTTTAGAAATGGCTTTATAACCTTTTCCGGACTGATAGAGCTCCATTATTCTCTTTCTCATTTGTTTTTGAATTTCTTTGGATCTCGGCATGATGTCTAGCTTTTGAGGATCTTTTGGTCTACTTCACTTTGTCAGGCAGGTCCTATTTAAGTGATTTCTTGATTGCGAACAGGTGTGGCAAGAGAAATTGAACTCAGGTGCGATAAACCAGTGTTTTGACAGGGGGGCAAACACTTGTTCACACAGGGCTCTATAGTTTTGGATTTTGTTTTCCCTTAATAATAAAAACCTTCATTTAAAAACTGCATGATGTGTTTACTTGTGTTATCTTTGACTAATATATAAATTTGTTTGACGATCTGAAACATTACAGTGTGACAAACATGCAAAAAGATAAGAAATCAGTAAGGGGGCAAACACTTTTTCACACCACTGTAAGTGAATCAAATAAAAAAGATAAAAATGCATCCTCTTGCATAAAGGTCAGGCTGTGCGACCTGGTTACTGTTTGTCAAATGCCCTATCTAGTTAAACATACCCACCCTCTAGTGGTCTTTGGTCCTTGTGTTGATGAGGGTGATGTCTTTTAATAAGAAGTTGGTTTCAGTGCTGTTCAAAGTATATCTCTGCTACCTTAGTTGCAGTGTATGGAAATATTTGATTTGCCAGAGTTTAACTTGGTGACTTATGGTGTTCCAACAGGACAGTAATTATTAATCAGTTAACAGTTTGAAGTGCTCAGTTGATGTCTATCCCACTGAAATTTTGGAGAATCATTGATATGATTGTCTGATCAGCTGTACAAGAGTGCCATGAAATTCAGTGCAGACCTTCACAGTCCTCCCAGGATGAACTGTGATTACTATGGTGATTTCTAGACTTTTCCGCGAATGTTATCAGATCAGGGTTTTACTTGGTCCAGGACTTGTTCATGACTAAAGACAAGCAGCAAGTTCACTATATTCTCATGAGCCTCAGCTGTACCATATGTTTTGTATAGCTAAGGCTTTATTAATTTCTTTCTTTAAATATTTTTTTAAAACTGTTTTCATTAGATTTTATTTATTTATTTGCATTATTGAAGACAGTCACAGATGTGAGCTGTTCCACACCTGCTATGAACTACTTTCTAAAATACCACTGAAAACCCTCAAAGCCCACAGGAGAGTAACTGTGGCAATTTTTTACTTTTGTTTTCATTTAAGACCATTTTCCCCAGTGACACTTTTATTTCATAATGCCACTTTTCACGACAGTGGAGTCACCATTGCCTGTTTCATTCAATCACATGAGCCTCCCAGTAGACTGGCACTAGCTAGATCCATATGGCCAGAACCAAGACTCTGTATCAGTGTTCCAAATCAGTAGTACATACTAATTATTTACTGTATGTACTGTGTATAATAGTTTATAATAATTGTATACTGGTACAATTGTTTTATTGTTTATTTTACTGCCAGTTACACTTCATAAAAGAAAGCAGTGTCTTTCTTAAAATTAAATTATTTTTTTGTTTTCCACAATTTTACTACAGCTATTTTACTCTCGCCAACAAATTGTTTCAGAATTTTCCCAGCCGTGTATAGCTCATCCATTTTCTTTGTGCTTTACAATACTACATATATGAATTGTATAGTTTGGATTTGAGACACGTTTTTCCTCATGTTGTATTCTCTGAGAACATCTTTAGATTCAGAGTACTGCTGAATTAACCATTTAACTAGGGACAACTCCACTGACATTATAAAACAAAAACATCATCTGTGTGTTAGCCCTGTGATGGACCGGCAACCTGTTCAGGGTGTACACCGCCTTTCACCGATGCCGGCGTAGGATTGGCTCCAAAATTCTTCAGGATAATGTGACAATGTCTGCATATCAGTTGAAACTCTGTAGAAGTTGGGTGATGCAACAGGACAATGACCCAAAACACCGGAGCAACAGAATGGCTTCAGAAAAACAAAATTCGCCTTTTGGAGTGGCTAAGTCAGAGCCCAGACCTCAACCCAATAGAGATGCTATGGAATGACTTGAAGAGAGCCATACACGGGAGACATCCAAAGAATATGATGAAGCTAAAGCAATTCTGCCAGGAAGAATGGGCTAAAGTTTCTCCTGAATGATCTGCAGGTCTGATCCACAGCTACAGGAAGCACCTGGTTGAGGTTATTTTTGCCGGGGGGGTCTACAAGTTAATTCCAGGGGTTCACTTACTTTTTCCACTACCATTTTGAATGTTGAATGAATGTATTCAATAAAGACATGAAAGATCAGAATTTGTTCTTCCATGCCAACACCGTGTCTCTTTTCCTTTCTCTTTGTGTCTAGATTTGGACAACAGTGATGCCAACGAGAGACTGAAGTTCAGCATAGTCAAGAGACTCCCTGAGGTACTTCTGTGTGGTCAAACATAAAGATGTTATGTGGGGAGAGGAGTAGTTTTTATTTTGTCTTGAGAGAGAATAATCAAAGAAAATGATATTTTCACTCTGATATTACTCCAGAAATGAAGTCTAAGCATAATATCAACTATCCAAATGATAACTTGTTGAATCAACAACCCTGGGGAACAGAGATGACATGTAGCAGTTATTGGCCAGAGTGAAATTCTCAGCCTGGATGGTGAAAGGAGTAAAACAATGCCTGAGGCTATTATAAGCCCATCTGTTATTGAGGCGGAAGTTTTCTCGAATGGTTTTCTCCCCACTTCCTGTTCTGGCCCAATTAAAAGTTACTTTAGGTCTCTCTCCCTCAAGCCCCCCTCAAGCCAATCACAAAGCTTTGGACTGTGGGAGGAAGCCGGAGCATCCGGAGAGAACCCACGCAAGCACGGGGAGAACATGCAAACTCAGCACAGAAAGGCCCCGGGTCAGCCGGGGCTCAAACCCGGAACCTTCTTGCTGGGAGGCAACAGTACTAACCACCATTCCACCGTGCTGCCCCCCATGTGGATACAGTGTTGTATATTTCTTTTGTAGCTGTGTGTGTCTGTGTTCTGTCCACACTGTGAGGAATGTTGAGTGTTTAGCATCTCTGTTCTATTTCCTGCCTGTCAGACTTGTTAGGTGAGTTTGGCAGGCAGGAGAGATTTAGCAGGTACAACACACACACACACACACACACACACACACACACACACACACACACGTTCCCATTGAGCTAGAAAACAGGACATGTCATCAAGCTGTGGGAGATTTGTACCTTGACTAAACCCAGCACACCCGTTATTTATATGTAAAGCCCATGTAGCTTCAGTTATTCCTTCACATTTTTGCAATTGCAGATACATGAGGGATCGGGAAGTAGCAGCATTAGGCAACTTATTAAGGAATTAATAAGTTACATGAATATGTTACATGCCTTCAGAGTTATAAATCAATGTACCAGACCCTTTCACAAGATTATCTTTGTCTGCAAACCTTTTTTTTTCCAATACAGAAATAGTAAAGATGGCATTCTGTTACTGTAACCCGCAATGGTAAATAATACAACAATTGACATTTCCAGCGAGTAAGTAACTATACTATGACCAGCACAAGTCATGTGTGGGTGTAGGAGTGAAGACAAGTCTACAGGGTCAGCAGGTGGGCACCCTCTCACTGACTGGTGTTTTATTGAGTTGGGCCCATGACACCAAGAAGGCTCAACAGTGTGTTCCAGGGTCCCAGAACCAGTCCCCTCTTTGCCTGCACCCACACACCCAACACAACCCTTCATCTACTGCTACTGCTACCTCTATTCTATTCTCAGCTGCTCCTGTTAGGGGTCGCCACAGTGAATCCAGTTTGCATGAGTAATTTGGCACGATGTCTTCCTGACACAACCATCTCTATTGACTGACATGAAACCCCTGTGACTAGATCCAACACAACCCTTCATCTATTCAGGCTATTTGTTACCAAACAGTCACTACTATTGCTACTGCTTCTGCTTTATTTCTACTCTCACAAACTCAAAGCCTTTGCGATCTGTATTTATACATTACATCTTCCATTTTCTCAAGCTTCTTCTCAACTGTCCCTTTCAATGCTTTGAGAGCATTACCAGATTTGAATTAACTGTTGCCCATATGCTTATCTCACTAGCCCCAGGCCAATTTGCTTTGGGTTTTTGCCTCACGCCCTTGTCTTTCTTTAGCGGCCTACTCTCACCACTGTCCTGACAGTGCTTCCTCCTCACTGGTAGTGATGGTGATATCCTGCACTCTTTGGTTACTCACCAGTTTCTGAATTTCGCCTGATTGATGTGATTAACTTCTTAGGAAGTACTGTTCAGTGCGGGGTCCCTGACCACTGCACTTTTCACTTGCCTCCAAGAGCCTTTTCCTTCCCTGATTTATTCTAAGGCCCCTGTTTGATGTTGCGTTCCTCCAGCCACAGCAACCTACCTGCTGTTGTCTTTCTTCTACCTTTAATACAGTTTCTTCCACTGGAGTGCCAGCCCTACTCAATGTCAAATCCATTCCAAGGTCAATAACTGGGTGTTCTGCCTGTGAGTCACCTTCCACCTGCTCTCTCTGACTCTCACGGTATGTGCTTTTGCTTACTTGTGGCTTGACTGGTGCAATCTAAATACACTAGGCTGCTGCTGTCATGGGTTCCCAGTCAATGCAGCCCAAATGGGGTCCATTTCCACCTGTCAGCTGGCTTTCCCTAGTTGTCAGCTGCCCAATTCACAGCAGCCACTAGCTAGCACTAGCACTCTGTAGAATCAGAATCAGCTTTATTGGCCAGGTGTGTTGGACACATGAGGAATTTGACTCTGGTACAGTGGCTCTCAGTGTGTATGTACAATGTTCTTCCATAAGGCAACAAGTAAACAAGACTGAGAGAACTGAAATGTGCAAACAAGAAAAAGGAATGTGGATTAGGAAAATAAGTACTTATAAATACAGAAATATATATGCACACATTTTACATAAAGTTTTCCAGACAGATATATACAAAAGTATATTTATAAGGTATTGTACTAAGGGTTGTCGTTCTGTTATACAGTCATGGGTTAAGTGTTTATCAGTGTGAAGGATCGGGGAAGAAACTGTCCTTTTGTCTGGTTGTTTAGGCGTACAGTGAACTGTAGTGCTCTCTAGAGGGGAGGAGTTCAAACAGTTTGTGTCCAGGGTGTGAGGGGTCTGCAGAAATCCTGCCCTTCTTTTGACCCGTGAGGTGTACAGGTCCTCCATGGAAGGCAGGCTGACAACAATGATATTTTCTGCAGTCCTGACTGTCCGCTGGCATCTGTTCCTGACCTGTTTGGTTGCTGAACAAAACCAGACAGTGATAGATGAGCAGAGAACAGATTCTATGATTCCTCTGTAGAACTGTATCAGGAGCTCCTGAGGCAGGTTGAACTTTAGCTGGCACAGAAAGTTTATCCTTTGCTGTGCCTTCCTGGTGATGGCACTGATGTTGGATGACCACTTGAGGTCCTTGGAGATAGTGGAGCCCAGGAACTTGTAGGACTCTACTGCTGATACAGTGCTGCCAAGTATGGTGAGGGGGCTTTTCCTAAAGTCCACTCTCATCTCCGCTGTTTTGAGTGTGTTCAGCTCCAGGTTGACCACAGGGCCAGCTGTTTAACGTCCCGTCTGTGGGCCGACTCGTCACTGTCTTGGATAAGACCGATGACCGTTGTGTGATCTGCAAACTTTAGGAGTTTAACAGAGGGGTACTCTGAGGGAAAACGGCAGCGGTGAGAGCTTACTCTAAGTTGGTCTTTTCCCTGAAAAAATAAAGGTGATAATTTCCTACTCAAAACTGCATGAATGCTGCTAACTCTGAAACACAATACTGAGAAATACATTTTCTCTGCATTCTCTCACTAGCAGTCAACTCTGCAATAATGGTTTTGAGTTCCATTTGGCAGAATACAAAGGCACAGATGTTCACATGCTCCAGGGATACATTTATTTATCACAACATGAGCAACATGCATAAAATGTCAACTTGTGTGTGTGTGTGTGTGTGTAGCCTATGGACCAGAGGATCTACCATATGTGGGATCATCCTGCCAGTTCAGCTTCAATCTCCAGAGATTATGTCAAAACGCTGCTGGAGAAACATAACAAAAATAAGGTGATACAGCACAGTGCGTCACACATGCCGCAGCGACTAAATGCTTTCTCTCTCTCATATACACACACCAAAAGTACTGCAGAATGGCAAACATAGACTGTGGGGGAAACTTTGTACATAAAAATCCTCCAGAAAAAAGTGTGAAATGAAATGCTTAATGATAAAACACTTATGGCAGTTTGTTATTTGCTATGGTCACAATTTTCTGATAAGTAATCCAGAAAAAAAGGTATTTTTTCTGCAGTGTATGGCCGCCCAAAAACTTAAACTGCAGCCAACTTTGTATAGATGAGTGTAGGTGACTGGTTTCTGGATTTGCTGCAGATTTGTTTTGGCTGTGTGTATCCCTGCAAAACCACTGTTGTGTTTTTGTTTTTTTCCTTCCTCATCAGGGATTTGTACCCACCAGCAGAGACAAGCCTGGCTTCAGACCCGAGTTTCTGCCTCTTACCTACCTGGCAAAAATGCTTTCTGATATAGAGGAACAAGGTATGTGTATTTATATCCTGCCAGATTTAGATACAGAGGTCTTTGCAGGATTAAGACAGAAAATGTGTCAAAATACAGCAGACTCTATCACAAAGAGCAAGCAAGGAAAGTGTCTGTATGTAGTATGTCCTCTATAATAAGCTCGATCTCTCTCTGATTCCTCATCTGGTGCTGCAGCTCTAAACCCTTTTGAGGAACAGGAGAACGTGGATGCCAGGTTTGTGGAGGAGACAGCCCTGAAACAGACTCTGATACTACTGGGCTTTGAGGAAAAATGAGGTGAAGGGGCTGAGAGGGACTGATGGACTGAGGGTGAAACAGATGAGAGGGAAAATGTGTTTGAGAGAAAACTCATCATTGACTGGGCCTTGAGGACACAAAATGGATGGATGGGTGATGGAGGGTGAGAAGTGAAAGATGAATGGAAAGACTAAAAGGCAGAGTGCACTTAAGTTCTCAGTTTGATGACAAAGATGGAGGAGAAAATAGAATGCACAGTGGATGAAAAAAAGTTATTGGTTTTCTGTCTTTTTTCAGAAGACACTAAGAACCATGAAAGTGTAAAACTGGCCAAATTTGGATTTTTTTTTTGTTTCTTTTACTTTTAAAGGACAAAATAACCAATTTTTACATATACAAAGAAAAAGGTGAATGCAATAACACACATCCCTGTTTCATTCGAACCCTCTCTGGGGTTAGGCTGCTTCATCCTTAAATGGTACGTTATCTGCATGACCAGTAGTTAATGTTAGCAAACCTTAGGCTGATATTGCGCTATAAACTGCATTACTGAGCCAGCCCATTATTATTGCCTGGATAATTATTACTCTGTTTTGGCTGGTCTTACATTACAGTATGGCTTAGCATTTAATATCAACTGAGACAGTAATTGTCAGTCAAATTTACATAGGTTCACTTTAAACCAGAAACTAGCTCATCAAAGAATAAGAAAACGATTATGAATCTGACCAGCGATTTGATGCCAGCTTTCAACATTTGACAGTTTGATACTTTGTGTTACATTTGTTGCCAAAAATGTATTGATACCTGGCCCTACTTATAATTAAAGCCACAGCATGCAACACAACTTAATGCAGAGATAGTACAGGGTTACTAAGGAAATAAGAAGTGAAAATTTAAAAAAGACTGACAACATTCAAACGATCTGCACACACACACTCAAACATCTGGTTTCAATAACGTGATAGCGTGCCCTCAATCATGACTGAGTTCTTACTGTAAGTGAAGAAGTTCTTTGAGACCAAATACCAGAGATTATTTACTTCTCACATTGAGCCATTCATGTGAGAAATTACGTAATATTCCTTTGAAAAAGAGGAATGTCTGAGTCACTCATGTTTATGTTTATACCCTAAAATGTTTTGTAAGATGAATTGTAAATAAAGAGTTTTTTTCACATTTACTGAATTTTTCTTTTATTATGACTTTTGAAGAACAAAGAATTTTTGTGGCACCAGTTGGGCCCTGGTTTACTTTGTTTCCAGCTATTTTCCCCCAGCCCCTGAAAAAATGGGTGCCAGTTGCACTGTAGAGCCCCCAGGTAAATTAGGAAATGATCTTGTGTGTAAAGCTCTGTTGAGGAGGAAGTGAACTCTCAGATTCTGGAGACTATTTGAGTGGTTTGGATAGATTCAGTAGCATTCCACTGAGGTCAGATCATATATGCTGAGTCACTTAACGATGAACACACCCATCACACTTTAGTACTTGCTCCGTTACAATACCTACATTAACATGCTTTAAATCATTTCTCTTTAGGGGAATTCCTCCTTTTAAGGTGAACAAACTGCTCATTCCCCACTCGACTGCTTCTTCCACTCTTTGTTATACAGTCATTGTTACTGTATGTAGCCTGCTCATAAGTTCAAACAATGAAGAGCTAAATTAATCTGACAGCTCGTGCCATCAGCCTGTAATGGATGATCACGCACACACACACGCACACATCATTGGCTGGACAGGGCTGGCTCAAAATCACGTTGACTAAACCTGTAGCCTTCTTGAACCTCTTAAGAAGCTGACTCACACGGTGTATCACAAACCTTGCTTAACACTTCAGTGGCTTCCAGAATCTTTTGTCTAATTTATCATCACATCCTTGTACCCTTCATCAGCACCCCATGTAAATCATTTCAATGGTTTAGCTGTTGTACAGGTAATGTGAGAATACACCTGCTAAATATCAAACACCAATTTGTAATTTTGTTTAGACATTTATCTTTCTCCTAATGTGGATGTTGGGAAAATCATCATTCGCAGTAATGGCATCCACATGAACTTAGTACTCAAACACACGGTTAAAAGTGACAAAATAACACTCACTGGCACCAAAACTGTTTTCACCTTCAGGTAAGATCAGCAGATAGAACAACTTGGGATACATTTTTCAAAAGTTAAGAGGCAAGTGACTTTGTTTGTGGTCTCTAGTGACTAACTCTGCCTTTTCAGACTACTGTCTCTCATTCCTCTTAATTTAAATTCTTCTCTCTTTTTGTCATTCTCTATGCTCCTTCATTGACTGATCTGCCTCTATATTTACATTTATCACTTTAGCCGTTAAGCACTGTAGGCACTCTTACCCCAGCTAGGAGCTGAAACCCACTAAAATTTATTCATCAGGTTCAAGATTAGAAATGTGTGGGAGAAATTTGAAGATGAAGAAATATTCCAGTGTCCCTGAGAAATTAATTTATCTATAACAGAAAGGCAGTAAGCCAACCTGTCCCATGGAATCAGGGAGGCAAAACGGCAATAAAGCAAGAGAATATCTGGACACTTCAGCAACACTAGAGATGCACAGAGTCTCTGGCGAGGCATCCAAACCCTCACAGGCTATAAACCCCCACCTCGGAACTGTGATAGTGACATCTTACTGCTAAAAAAGTATATTATTATGAACTTCCTCTGTATAGCGCCATTATGATTCATTGTGGTCTTGGGCGAGCAGGCTGTGCGTCTGTCCATAGCCAGTGTGAAGAAGACCCTCTCCAGGATTAACCCACACAAGGCAGCTGGACCAGATAACATACCTGGTCATGTTTTAAAGGACTGTGCCAAGGACCTCAAGGATGTCCTCATGGACATCTTTAACATCTCTCTGAGCCAAGCAGTTGTTCCCACGTGTTTCAAGGCCGCCACAATAATTCCAATTCCAAAGAAGCCCCACCCAACCAGTTACAATGACTATCGGCCTGTAGCACTGACTTCTATTATTATGAAGTGCTTCAAGCGGCTGGTCAGGCAGAACGCCAGGTCCATACTTCCTGCCTCTCATTTCAGTTTGTATACAGGCCAAACAGGTCCACAGAGGATGCCATTACTGCTGTTCTCCATCCAGCCCTCACCCACCTAGAGAAGAAGTCACACAGGAGGAGGCTCTTATGTGCGAATGCTGTACCTAGACTTCAGTTCAGCATTCAACACAATAATTCCCCAGAAGCTTAAGACACTTGGGACTCAAAACCTCTCTCTGCAACTGGGTGCTGGACTTTCTAACAGGGAGGCCACAAAATGTGTGGGTCGGCAGCAACATCTCCAAGACCATCACACTGAACACAGGGGATCCACAGGGGTGTGTGATCAGCCCATTGCTCTTCACACTGCTGACCCACGACTGTGTGCCAACCTACAGCGCCAACCACATTGTCAAGTTTGTGGATGGCACGACTGTAGTTGGCCTCATTACCAACAATGATGAGGCCAATTACAGGAGTGAGGTGTGCCAACAGGTCCAGTGGTATAAGAGCAACAAGACTAATTGTGGACTTCAGGAGAAAACCTCTAAAACATCTACCACTGACCATCTATGGTGCTGTAGTGGAGAGAGTGAGCAGCACCAAGTTCCTGGGGGTGCACATCTCTGAGGACCTCTCCTGGACCATCAACACCACATCACTGGTCAAGGAAGCTCAAACACGCCTCTACTTGGCTGCATCGCTGTGTGGTACGGAGCCTGTACTGCCTCCTGTAGAAGGACCCTGGAACGCATAGTGAAAACAGCCAGCAAGATCATTGGTGCCCCTCTGCCCTCCCTTACGGACATCTTCAACACCTGCCTCACCCGCAGAGCCATCAGCATTGCAGAGGACACTTCCCACCCCGCACACTCCCACTTCAGATTCCTACCTTCAGGGAGAAGGTATCAGAGTCTTCAGGCCCACTCCACCAGACTTACAAACAGCTGCATTCACCAGGCTGTGAGCATTGTAGGATATGGTTCGTATTACCATTGCTAACTCTAAGAGATGAGGCAGTCCAAGTAACTTCAAAACAGTGTTGATTTATTCAAAGGATCACAGGTAAAGTTAACATTACACGCTCAAGTATCTTGCACCTCCACACTGCACGCAGGCAGATGTAAGATGAAAGACCCTGAACCCACCAGGCCTATACATTATATCACCTCGTTTGGGCTAGCCCCATACTACACAGAAACGTCAACCGGGACGTCTCTCTCACCAGCTTTGCAGCTGGCCCTAGCAGTAGTCAAAACATGAAGCAAATCAACGTGTGAATGTGTATGTCTATTGGTTAAGTGGTGTGTATCTAGTAACATGTCGTGATATTAAACATAAGAACATATTATGGCTAAGGCTACAGTTATACACGTCATAATAATAATATTAAACATCCTGTCTGCTGACAGTCATCAACTCTTCTCTCTAGTTATCCTTGACCAGATGTACCCTGTAGAAACTCATAAGCATGACTAAGCATTTAACAGTCTAACTAGACATCCTATCTCCACTAAACATTTCTAATACATAAAGTATCTATCCAATATCTATCTGGCTAAAAATACCTAACAGCATGCTGAACACTATTCACTACCTCCCCAACCCACCACAGAACATAAAAAGATATAAAAAGACTACCCCTGCTGTTTGCACAAACTCAATACATTCCCCCTTTTTGTTATATTACAGGCAAATCTGCTGCTGAGTGTTGTGGAAACAAACAAAAAAATAAACTACCTCTGCTGTTTTAGCTTCTGTTATATTATATGTAAATCTGCTGCTGACAGTTTTTTTTTGCCGGGATATCTGCTGCTGTTGGTCATTTGCAGTACTGTACATGTATACCTCATATGCCATTTGTACCTCATCACCAATGCCCTGTGTCAGGGCCGCTCGGCGGCCGCTGCATCTCCTCCGGCTTTTTTTCCCCTGCTCT